ACTTCTCACTCTACCTACTCTCTCTCCTACCTCCGTTCGTACCGTCGTCACTCTCTCGTCGTCGGCCGACCGTCGCGCGCGCGTCGTCCTCCTCTCTCTCTACTACTACCACCTACTATATATATATATATATATATATATATATTACCCCCCTCTCTCTCTCCACCGCTTCCATAACTCCTCCAAAGCAACACACTTATAGCTCTCTCTCTCTCTACGCCATGATGGTCGAGCCCAGAGGACTGCTATGGGTATTGGCTCTGCTACTTCTCTCTCTAGGGCTCAAAGGGTGGGCTCTGATGTGGCGCAGGCCGAAAGCCATTGAAGCTCACTTCAAGCGTCAAGGGATTGGGGGCCCTCCTTATCGATTATTCCTTGGAAATGTGAAGGAGATGATGAGTTTGATGATCAAAGCCTCCTCTCAACCCATGTCTCCCTCTCATAATATCCTCCCTCGTGTTCTCTCTTTCTACCACCACTGGAAGAAAGCTTATGGTATATGCTTTACCCCCCTCTCTCTCTCTTTCCTCTCTGTCTCTACAACTACTGCTACTGCTACTTATCATGTTTTTGATTGATTTGTTTGAATTGTGAAGGTGGGACTTTCCTGGTTTGGTTCGGACCAACACCCAGACTAACCGTGGCCGATCCCGACCTCATTAGAGAGATCTTTGCTTCAAAATCCGAGTTTTATGAGAAGGACGAGTCTCACCCACTGGTCCGACAACTCGAGGGTGATGGTCTTCTGAGCCTTAAGGGCGAGAAGTGGGCTCTCCATAGAAAGATTATTACCCCCACCTTCCACATGGAGAACCTCAAAGCAAGTCCTCTCCTAACACTAAATACATAATACCCATATCTTTCTTTCTCTCTCTCCAAGTTCTAAATGTCCACTAGGAAAACTGAATACCCATCTCTCTCTCTCATCGATTGAATGGTTATTTTGCAGGTTTTGCTACCAGTTGTAGGAAAGAGCATCATTAAGATGGTAGAGAATTGGGGAGAATCGAGCAAGACAGAGATTGATGTATCAGAGAGCTTCCAACGCTTAACAGAGGATATCATAACACGCACTGCTTTCGGTAGCAGCTACGAAGACGGAAAGGCAGTTTTCTCTCTCCAATCTCAACAAATGGAGTTAGCTGCTGATGCTTTTCGCAAAGTCTTCATCCCGGGCTACAGGTCTTTTCTCTCTCTAGATGTATAAAGCTCTTGTTAGTTAGTATACATTACTGTCGTTCCAAGTGTTTTGAGTACTTTGACTGAGTCGATTTTCGTGAATACTGTAAAATACACTTCCACTCTCTCTAACATCTCGGAGTTGATTCATGTAGGTTTCTGCCGACGACGAAGAACAGGCGGTCTTGGAAGCTGAACAAGGAAATAAGGAGGTCATTGATGCGGTTGATAGAGAGGAGAGAGAAAGAGGCAGAGGAAGGTGGGGTTTATGGTGAGGACCTATTGGGGCTTATGATAAAGGCGAGGGCAGAGGGGGCAATAAGCGCCAAGGACATAGTGGAGGAGTGCAAGACTTTCTTCTTCGCTGGGAAGCAAACGACGTCGAACCTGCTGACGTGGGCGGCGGTGCTTCTCGCTATGCACCCCGAGTGGCAGGAACGGGCTCGGGCCGAACTCCTCGGCCTCCCCGACCCTCCTTACATCATCCCTTCCAAGGACCAACTCGACAAGCTCAAGACCGTCAGTTCTCCCTCTTTTTTCTTTCTTTATTGTGCTCAAACTTTTTCTAAAAAATAACAAAAATACCCTTGGGGATCTCCTTGGGGATCTCGAGAACTCTTTCTCACACTTCATACCTGGCCCATTTTTTCAAGATAACCTCATGGATTAGTCTTGTCATCCCTCAATCAAATAATTTTCCATCTATTTATTTCTTGAGATTTCATATTTCCATAAAATCTCTTCTGTTTTCTTCAGGGGTTCTTCAATTGTGTTTTGTTTTTTCTTTTCAAAGAAAAATTATATTTTCTCCTTTTGTTTTTTATTTCTTATTCTCACTTTCTTAGACAATTCTGGCTCTCCGTTCAGCGGCCGTTTTCATTAAATCCCGGAATTTCCATGTTTCCCAAAAATATTAATATTTTATCGACCCTTCCTTACCTCTAAGTTCCAAGCTTAAATTTTTCAATTCCGTCCAGTTGTATTTCCTAGAGAGAGAAACCCGTTTCCCTCAACCATTTTAGAGAGAGAAAGTAGCGTTTGTTTCTTGAAGTTGAAGTTTGCGTGTGATTTAAGATGGCCTGGTCTGGACATAGGGAGAAAGAGTGTAAGAATCCGAACTTGGATAATAGAGAGAGAGGAATTGGGTTTAGTCTTTTTTAGAGAGAAAGAGAGGGTGTTTTGTCTTGTCAAGGTAAAAATTTGGTATTTTTGTGGAACAGATGAGCATGATATTAAATGAGGCCCTGAGGCTCTACCCCCCAGCCGTCGCAACAATAAGACAAGCCAAGACAAATGTGGAGCTAGGAGGCTACGCCATCCCAAAGGGCATGGAGCTGCTCATTCCAATCCTGGCCGTCCATCACGATCCAGCGTTGTGGGGCCCAGACGCCGACGAATTTAACCCGTCCAGATTTTCCGATGGCGTCGCACGTGCCGCAACCCATCCCGTGGCCTTCATCCCCTTCGGCCTCGGTGCTCGCACGTGTATAGGACAGAGCCTTGCCCTGTTGGAAGCTAAATTGGTGCTCACCATTATTTTGAGGCGATTCGATATCTCTCTATCTCCTGCGTATCGACACGCACCCACTGTGCTCATGCTCCTTTACCCCCAACATGGCGCCCCCCTCTATTTCAGACCCCTCCTTTCCGCCCCCACTTCCTAACATCTTTCTCCATGTTGATATCTTTCCCCTTCCGAACCTCTCTCTCTGACATACCTGTGATCCCCTTTCTCTCACTTAAATTCCTCTCTCTGTCCTCAACGGAACTACCCGTGTTTTTTTTTGTGCTATACGACACTGTTTTTCCTTCTATAACCGAAGTACCCCACCTTCTAACAAAAATAACCCTTCTCTCTAACTGATATACTTTTCTAACCTTTTCTCTCACTAAAATGTGTTCGCCCTTCCTCTCAGAATCAGGCCGTCTCTCTCTGTCTAAAATACTCTCTAATCCATCCTGTTTACTTGACAATTCCCCTTTTGTTTAAATTCCCATCAAGCCACTACTACAAGGGAAAAGAGGATATGGACTTTTGATAGAGTAAAATGGTCGAACATAATTAGTGTAACAAACCCTAAATAGTTTGGATACGATTAGAATGAATGATGATGAATGGTATAACAAACCGTAAATAGTTTGGATAGGATTGGAATGATGATGTTCCCCGCACATTATACATTGCTATTCGGATGGGAATCTTACCACTTCCGGGAACATTACAGTTATTTTCACGATGTTTGACGAGTTTTTGGTCAATATAGGTAAAAAGACGAAAGAGTGATCAATGAGTCCTCTTTCTTTGTTTTTTATTTTTTCTTATGTTTGCCAGTGTATTAGCTTCCTCCTCGCTCACCTCCCTCGTAAAAGCGCATTGTAAATATATGTATACATCTTAGTATGATGTTTTCAATTTCGAACTTCTTTGAATACAATTTTGATATTATATTACCACTTGTCTATTTTTCTTTATTTTTGTTTATTTTTTAGGGATAGTATACAATGAATAAGGTGGTCACAGTCGCGTATAACCATCTCATGTGAAATTTGATTGCTTAAGTATGTCATAAATTCAAGAAATATTTTTTGAAGTTTTTACTTAGTCAATGGAATAAATGCAAATACCTAATTTCACATTCAAAGGTCAAGGTTAATTGTGACCACTTTGTTCAAAAGATAAATGGTCTCATTGTATACTTTTCCTATTTTTTATTCATCTTTGTGATTAATAATTCTTAGATTAATCCACTTGAAATTTGCGTAAGACTTATGATTGTGTAGGCTCTTATTTATCAGTGATTTATGCATAGACCCGAAAATTTTAGTTAAAATGCAAAATGCTCCACTTATAAACGAAAATTAAAAGAAGGTTGGTCAACCTGTCTTTCTTATTTTTTCCAAAATTGCCTCTTGGACAACCTCAATTTTGATTTTTTTTTTCTAGTTTTTTCTTAGTAGGTTAGTGCCCCAAGCTTTAAGCCATTGCCCTATTAATGAAAAAACTAAAACAACAAAATCAAAATTAGGGTTGATCGAGGGGTATTTTAAAAAAAATGAAAAAAGTGGATTGATAGGCGTTTTTTGTAATTTCCATATATAAATGGAGCATTTCTTATTTAACCTAAAATTTTAGGGTCCACACGTAAATCACTCTTTATTTTCTTATTTAACCTAAAATTTTAGGGTCCATACGTAAATCACTCTTTATTTATTTTTGCAAAAATAAATGTTCCAATTTCTAAAGGGCACGTCACCTTAGTTATCCAAACTTTGCAAAAATGCATAGAGATCGGAAAAAGGATGCCTCCTTTTAGAACAGCTAGATTTGTTTCTATAGGTTTTTTTTTTAGATTGCGATTCATTAATAGAAAGATATAATTTAATTATCTTATAAGAATATAAACTTTGGAACAGTACAATATAAATTTTACATAGAAATTTTTAAATTTTATGACTTTTCTTTTCTTCCTAAGTGAAAATAGTTTCCTTCCTAGAAGCTAAAAACTTGGAACAAACAGCAGGTTATATGGTACGGTACATATGATAAAAGGTGGAGATTAAGGGATTGTATATTACCGGACCATTTGTTTTTGTTAGAAGAACGTCACAGTTGCTCCAAACCATTAGATGTCAAATTGAATTAATGAATTTGCTCCCCATGTTTTTTATTAACATCTATTTTCAATCCCCACCATCCATCACTAAAATTGATGTGGTCTATCATACTCCGTACATCAGTATTATTTGGCACCCAAAGAGCAAAGAAAAAGAAAAAAATCAAAGACAGAGAGAAGAAATAAGAAATGTGGTATGTTGGACTTGGAAGTTGAGAAAGAGGCAGCCTTGGGATCCCTCTTCGGTCACAGCGGATGATGGTCCCCAGGTGCATATGTTTCTCTCTCTTCCCCAATGCATCTCTCTCTCTCCTAATTTTATATATTATTAACGCATCATACGAAATTGCAGCGAAAAAGAAAGTGAAACTACGAGGGAGAGACCTTTGCACGCGCAACCATGTGCCCCATCCTAGGGCATAATTAGTTGGCGCTTCTTTTGATTATCCCTTTAAAACACATTCTTTTACGGTGCTTATCAACTCGTTTTTTCACGGTTTAGCACTACTGTACATCTACTTATTTTTACCATAGTTGGTTTAGCACATATTTTTTTTTTAATTTTAATTTTTATTTTAAAGAAAGCAACAGTTTTATTAATGATTCCAGTACAAATTACATCAATTACATATGCCAATTGGCCAATTCATCTCATATCAATACATAAATCAAAACAACTAAAAAATAATGAAACGAAACTAGACAATAGTTAACACTTCAGCAGTAGTCCCCATCTTAGCAAGAACATCTGCTTGAAATTTCTTTCTCGGTACGCACGTACAAAAAAGCACTCCATCTCAGCACAACAATCTAATAGTTCCCTTATTATTTGAGTAAAAAACTAAGGACATTGCGAAAGAGATTGCAGTCAAGGTGGTAGCACCCTCACACCCTATTCACAATATTGTGGTTTCCATTTTCAGTAATACTATTCTACTAATACCTTAAAAAAAACTAATTTTTAAACTATTTGAAAAAAAAACGGTCCGTACTCTTCACTTAATTACCCAAAAACAAGGAAAACTAACCAATACTCTTCACTTCTTTACCCAAGAACAAGAAAAATAACCAATAACGTTCATCCCTGTTTAACCAACTTTATTATATTCATTGGATCTCCCTCAACCACCAACTTCATATTAAATTCTCTAGCGAATTTAAGATCTAGAATAGCAGATCTCAACTCCACCTCATTAGATGTTACCATGCCCACAAGACCATAATACTTCTTCAGCACCACACTATCGTTATCTCTACTAAGGACTCCCGTCCCAGCTGGTAACCCATAGCCTTTTTCCAACTCTATCCCTATTTAAGATGTGTGCATTATACATCAAATCAATTCTATAAATACCCCACGATACATCATTAACAGACAACCACTCAGCAACCACCGCTCTAATCTTCTCAAACACTTCAAAGCTATGTTTGCTTATATCTTCAAAGTATCTCCTATTTTTTACCTTCTATAGTTCCCAAAGGAAATCTATTTTAATAGTATTCCAGATATCTTTCCCTTTTTGTCAACTCATTCTAACTTCCAGTTTGAAAACATCTCAGTAACAAGTAGAGGCGTCGAGGATTGCGCACCCATCCAATCCAGATTCCATTTAGCACTACTCTCTCTTTCTCACCATGGATGGTTTTATTACTGGCATCCATTTTTACTTTTACCATGGTTGAGTTTGCGCTAGTCTCTCTCTCACGCACATAAACATACAAACAAACTAATGTTCTTAATTACTAACTTTGATGGTTAATTAAAGTATTATATTACTTTAACCCATAACAAACCCCCTCTTTTTCTCTCATATACACTGTTGCGCTTATTTAGTATTTGCCATGGGTAACTATCATATTTAGCATGTCAGTAGCAAACAAATCAAATAAATTGATTTTAGATAAGAATGCATAAGCAAAAAGTCAGGGAAAAAATCCGGATCATAAAAAAATTAGGTAAGCTAAGAAATTTGACTAAAAAGCAGAGTGAAAATGAAGGACATGTATAAGTGGCCTAAATAGAATTATAATTTGTAGTTACTATCGGGATACAATAAAATCTCTAAACATTATTTTTATGTCAAGGAGCATTTTGAGTCATAATTAACAATTTTATAGTCTAAATTTTGTTAAACACAACAATATGGTATGCTTATTCCACTGTCATAACTAAAACAATACAATAATTTTATTTGGGACATTTTATACAAAGAAAGTAATAAAAGGCTTCTTTGAATTTTTGTTTTTTGGGTAAGTTAGTGGGGGAGAAGGCCCCCTACCCATTTTTCATTAAAAGATAAAAATAGAAAGTTTACAGCTCATTACTTTACAACCCTAGATCAAGGCACTTGTACCAAATCATGAGTTAAAGCAAGACAAATAAAATCTGGTGGACGAGAATGCCAAATAGTAGCTTTTAGACGAGATGTAGCCCTCTTTACAACAATATCAGCCATCATATTCGCCTCAGAAAAAATATGGGAGATAGACCACCCACAATGAGAAAGACATTGTCAACAATTTGCTGCAACTGTATATAACTTCCATGGACGTCAGAAGCGTTCATGAATAACATTAACAAGCAATGCTGAGTTATATTCAATTCGAATAGGGTAGCACTGTAACTGATCAGGTAGGATCAATCATTCTTCAAGATAGAAGAATTCTGCCTAATTATTTGTAGCGGTTCCAAAGGGTTTAGCAAACGGCACATTGAAAGCACCATCAAAATTCCTAATAACACCACCCCTTGCTTGGCCTTGGTTATGCAAAGAAGCCCCATGAATGTTTAGCTTGAAATTTACCCTGCCACAAGAATAGTAATTTTATCCCTATGTTGAAAGGGTGATCATTGATAACTTACCTTTAAAAAAAAAGCTTATTTGTACCAAATAAGAAGTATCAACAAAATAATAATATTCGAACCTCACTCCAATTCCCAACTGCCTAAATCTTTAATATTGACTTCTATCTTCCTCTTTGCATGATGCTCTTGTTCAAATGAAATCCCGATTATTCATTAGTTTACTATTTATTTAACTTTGCAATCTTTAGGGCAAATACAATTGCTTTAGGAACATTATTTTTCTGGAATATCTAGTAATTTTATTGTAACACAATATTTTTATGGGAATACGTTTTTTAGAATACTTCGGCAAATTTTTAACACAAAATTTGTTTAATAAAGGATCTTAATTTAATCTCATTATAGTAAACTTATAATAACCACAATTCAAATATTTCAAATAAATGAAGAGAGAGAGAGGTTTCAATAAAGTTAAAAAGTGACAATATTAATATAAAAAAAATTGTTTCATGCGGGTTGGAACACATTTCTACATATGTGGTCAAGAAAGTATAAAGCATTCATCTTAAACTGGATACAACTTGGTGTTTCTTCTAACAACAATAGTAACTAACAGTCCAAATGTTTTCTTACTAGAATTATTATTTTTTATTTTTAAAATTGATTTATTTTTTCATATTCGTGATATCCATGTTAGAGATTACATGTCCTTAAAAATTAACTATTAAAATCCATCTCAAAAATAGATTTATTAAGAAGACCGCATTTCTACATATGCGGGCTTGGCCGCATAAAAACCGGGTCCTTAATATAATAAAGAAGTTTTTATGATTGTTAGTAAAATATACATTGATATCGATTCCTATAGATGATCTTTTGAAAAATGGGAATTTTTAAGGTGTTTTCACAAGGGACAAAGTTTATATAAGGTTACGACCTTAGACTATAAAAGTAAGGTGTATTTCAAAAATCTAGCTCAACAACAATTACCAAAAGT